TTGCATCCAATCACATTCTTTCCCTGTGGCTTGGGAACTAAAGACCAGGTCTTGTTTTTCATAAGTGCTTCATACTCAGCTGTCATAGCATCCTTCCAAGCTTTAGATTTTAAAGCTTCTTGAATTGTTCTAGGTTCTGTGTTGTATACTGCTGATAAGACCTTTGGTCTTGAGTTTCCTGTCTTTGATCTTGTTGCCATGGGGTGTGTATTGGTGTTTCTTTCTTGAACAGGTTGATGTGGATCAATAAAAGGTAGCTCCACAAACAGTGGTATTGTGCTGTTAGAGGAAGTAGTAGTTGTACCTGGTGATGATCTATGTTCAGAGAACCCAATTGGTGAGCTGTTGTTTGAACTGTGAGACTCTTGTCCTTGAAGGTCTGAGTGATTGTAGATTGGAGATGGTGGTCTCTGTTGGTTGTCAGGTGGTTCATATATAAAACCAGGTTCAAGTGGTGGTGATGAGGTTTGATGAGGATTGCAAGTATAGTGCTTGGAATTCTCAACTTTTCTGTCTTTGTAAGGGAATTCTTGTTCACTGAAGACAACATGCCTGGATATGACCACTTTTCCAGATTGAAGTAGCACTTTGTATCCCTTGTATTCTGTGCTATATCCTATGAAAACTCCAGGTACTGATCTATACTGCAGTTTGCAGAGGCGGATGTAAATATATGGGTGGGGGGGCCATGGTCCCCCCCAAACTTTTTTTTTTTAATATAGTACTATGTATGTATTATATATAGTTTTATGTATATTTATGTAATTTGCCCCCCCTAAAATATAAATTTAAGTAACTAATGCAGTAGATGGGAACAAAATCTGAGTTGCACACGACCACACGTACACGTCTCTGCCCTTTCTTTCTCTTTTTTTTTTCTTTAATAAGTATATATAATATAATAAATTAAGTTAGTTAATTGTTCTTTACATTATTAAATTAATAATTAACTTAACATCATAAAAGATAAAAAAAAAAAAAAGATAGGATTCTGCACCTTCGCTCTTTCTTTCTCTCTTTTGCTTTAAAATGTATATATAATATAATAAATAAGTTAGTTAATTGTTGTTTACATTATTATATTATTAATTAATTCAACATCATAAAGATAAAAAAAGGGATGGGATCCTGCACACAAAATTGAGAAGACAGAGGCGTTTAAGGACGAGCGGCAAACGGGGAAGAGGCAAACGAAAAAAAAAATCACATTGATGATCGATTGTTATTTGAGCATTCAT